TTTGAATGCAATTGCACAAAAAATATATATATAACCTTGGCCATTGCCTTGAAAGTTCATACTATCATCTTATATTCGTAGGATTAAGTATAAGCAGACGATTAGGATAAATGCTTTAACTAACTACAAATAATATTATGTTGTTTGTCCCGTTAGACAGATTTTCCAGTGAATTTCGTAGCGTAAGGAAAGTAAAGCTTAGAAAAACGAAAACACTTGAGAAAAACTAGCGCAATCCGAAAGTTCAACCGAGTTGACTAGGATATAGAAAAACTGTGAATAGGTTATAACGCGTCACACCTTTGTGGTTATGCGATAATTGAATTTGTCCTCATATGAAAAAATCCCCAACTTTCTACCATTACAATTTTTCATTATATATATGTTTACCCAATGATCAGCATGAAAAAATCCCTTTAAAAATTAATTATTCATTGAGGCAAATTGGCCGAAGTAAAAAACTAGACAAAATGTTTGTTGATATAATCATAATGTTACATCGAATAATAATTAGGGACAATTCGAGGCAATAGAATTTCATATTAAAAGTCATTCGTTAGGCGAGCCAAAGATACTTAAAAATTAAAAGAGCCGTCGGTACTTTGAGATAATTAATTCACTATCAAAGCTAAGTATATTGTGGCCGTGTAAAGGAAGGAAAAAAAGTACAAAGATAAAGGACGTGGGAGAAGGCGGAATATTATGATCCGCGTTAAACGCACGTGACTTTCACAAAAGTACAGTTTCGTCCCTCTCTCTCTCTCTCTCTCTCTCTCTCTCTCTCTCTCTCTCTCTCTCTCACTCACTCACTCACTCACTCTCTCACTCTGTCTCGGGCGTCTGCATTTATGCTAATTATGCTTAGTGACCCGAAAAGACACTTTAACAATCTATACGGATTCTTGGTAAGCACTCGTGCATCTGTTCTCGAGTGCGTGCGCACGGCTGCGGAAAACAGCGACGCATCGAGCTGCGACCGCTTAACGCCGTCCACGGCTCATCGCCATTATCTCTTAATCTGATAGGTAGAGGCGATTTCCGTCTCCCTCATCGGGACGTTGATGGAGATCGAGCGTTTTGGCAGAACTTGGACGACTTATGCACTGCTAGAAATCCAATGGCCGAGACTCGCTCTGCTACCATAGCCCGATAAATGCTCCAATTGATAAGCAAATGTGACGACGAGGTCGCTTATCCCATTGAAAAAATAAAGTTGCTAATCGATGAGACAGAAGGTTTTGTTATCCATTTTGTTCGGTAATTACTTATTCCATTATGTTGGTCGGCTTAAGTTCGTAACGCTTCGGTTGCTTATGTGCGACATGCTTTCATGAATCTGGTAAAGTTTCACGTAAAGTTAATGAGCGTCATTATCTAATATATATAAATATATATTCTTTTAAATTAAAAAGTATTTCACTTCTATGGTCTTATATGTTATTGCATCTAATGAGCCTAAATACGAATAAATCCGTAGAATTAATGATATTACATTAACATGGCAAGTTAATAGAATCGAATACGGACAAATTAATCAATTGAATTAATTGCGAATTCGTAAATAAATAATGCACCCATACGGGGACACGAAAATTTCTTCCCTTTTTCGAGCCATGAATTGATTAATTATTCCATAGATATTACATTGTTGTTTAATTTGTTGTTTTCTAATATTTACAATTTCATTAAATCCATAACTGGACATTATTTTAATAATTGCATGTATTTCCTTGTAATTTGCACAAGAGGTTATATCAGAGTAGAAAAATGATTTATACAACATTTATTACAACAATTTTCAGAAATGTAAGGGGGATAAGCTTACAAACACATAATTATATTTTTCTCTAGAAAGAGACTTCGTTTAGACAATACTAATTTGTTTAGCACAGCAGAACAATATTATGCCTGAGCGTTAAGTCAATTAACGATAATTCTATTACTTTTTACTTTGTAATTATATTCAAACGTGACGATATACTGTTATTCATTACATTTATAGTAATAAAATCGAGCTTTAATGTAATAATTCTATCTGAATATTAAAATATTTTTTACTTATAGAGAGTTCATGAAATTATCAGGATAATGATAATCATAGCAGACACATTCATTATCTATAATATAAAATAGTTTATTAAGACGGAACTCGTATAATATTAACACCAAATTTATCATATAATTACTTATATTTATATAGTATTAAATAATCCTAACGATAAATATATCATTTTTCATATAACTATTAATGAGAGTTAACTTAATAGGAGTTAAATAATTATTGGTAAATTTAAAAAAAAAAAAAAAAAAAAAAAACTCAGCAAAGAATACAATATTATCGTTTATTTTTGGTATTGAATATTGTAAATTAAAATTTTGTTTAATTACCGATCCCATAAATTATAATCTAAAGCCAGATGATTAAGAGGAAAGAATATTTAAAGCTATTGTATTTCATTTTGAAAACCGAAATATTCTTAAATTTTAAGATATTCGTCAGCATACTAGTAACAATAATTAACATACATTATCTAAGATTATTGCAAATTGTTTAGTTTATACCGTTTATTAAACAAATGTATGTAATAAAATGAAATAAAAACGATGAGAATTTTTGTCATGGTTAATTATTCGAAGCTCGGATGAATTTTACAAAGTAGAAATTGGAAAGAAAACGGCCTCCTAATAAAATCGCTAAATACTAAATTATTTTTAAAATAAATATTTCACCAAATATTTGTAAAGAGCGTTAGATTTTAGAAATTCAATCATCTGGCTTATTTAATTCAACGTGACATGGTATTTATTGTCTATCTTGCATGACCCATAACTTCATCGATCTTATTGGAAGAAATAAATGAGAAAAATCGGCTTCGTACTATTCTGAAAAAATACCTATAATGTATTATATGCTGATTAGTTTAGGTATTTCTTATGCCTACGGATTCACCAAGTGGGTGTCACCCTTCTTGATTCTCAATATGTTACTTCGACCCACGTGCAACAGCACTTTCTCGTCAACACGACCAATCTGACAGAGACAAATTCGCTACTGGACTATTGGCTATTTATGCAATTGTATTTGAAACATAAAGATTGCAACACTTATCTCCCTCTTTAATCATACGTAATCTAAATTGAGATGAAAACTTGAATGACTGCATCTTCTTTTCGTATAATTGATTCTTTTGGTTATAAAATACGAGCTATAAACTTGATGGAAAAAAAATAATTTTTTCCATTAAAATATTAAACAGGTGAAATTACTAATAATTCTCATGCAATAATTATAGTAGTTCGTTCTTATAATTAAATAATTTTAATTTTATTATGATATTATAATAAGACTTTGATATGAATTCGATAAATATTTTATTCGGACGGACATTGACTTCATGCCAACTCTATAACTTTCAAATTTCATTAAAAGTATATTATACGACGTTTTAACGTTATTTGTCATTATAATTGAATTACACAAAATAAAATCCGAATTTTTTGCATCCTTCTAAAATTATATTAAAAATCAACTTCTTTCCTTCTTAATGAAGTATGTTACTTAAATATGATTATTAAAATTGTCTTCCCTTATGAGATCTGTAATATTACTGATTATCTTCCTTAAGTCCAATTGATATTACTACATTTTTATTATTTTTGACAATATTTTTCAACAGAATATCATAAAAATTTGATCAAATTATGCACACCCATTGTTAAGGAAAATATAAATTAAAGATACGAAGATAAATGTATATCATAATAATACGAGTACTTTTATTTGTTGTATAGTAGATTTTGAACATTTATATAAATATTATGTCTACACGTAAAAGCTTTCACTATATCCAGAATTTCACGTGTACATTAAATTTTATAATGAAATCATCTCAATATTACCCTGGTATTTTTAGAAAAATATACTTTATAAATTATATTTATAATTTATTGTATATATTTTTTTTTAAAGCTGTTTATTTCAATTTTTATTTTTACAAAGTTATATTTATATATATATATATATATATATATATATATATATATATATAAACACAATATTTCTAAATAATCAAACAATTTAATTCCATTTATTCGTGTTATTCGTTCGTTGAATTTTGATCGGCAAATTCTATACAAATAGCTTATATAATTTTATTAAAACATTACAAGACATTAATTTAAAAATGTTAATGACAAACACCATAGTAATACAAATATAAATATAACGGACAAAAAATTTTTTTATTAAAATGACAAATTTCTTTAGGTCATTTTTCACCGACTCTTCCTTTCCTCTAGAACAAAATAGATCTTATAATTTTATAGTCTCATTCCATTTACAACTATAAAAAGTGAACGAATTAAAAAGAGACCATTTTATTTTATTATTATCCATAAAATTTTAACCAAGAATACTCGGCGTAAATGAAATCAATTACTACTATAGTAAGAGATCAGGATAAAATGCGATTTCCAAGTTTGTAATAAAATTAAATATTTCCTTTACATTTAAAAAGCCACTTAAATTTTAAGAGCAAACAATTTCATCCACAAAAACTTGCAAAGCCTATTTACTTTTTTCAACTAAATTAAATGTAAGAGGCGTTCTCTCCTTACGCAATATAAAAAGATATTTGACTGTATAAGAAATTAATGTTTGATTGTGACTCTAAAATAAAATACCATACGTGGTTTTGTGAAAATAAGACATCGAGTGCATACCACTTGAATTGCCATAATTATGAACGAGACCCGTGATATTAACATTTTCAATAAAGCCACAACTTGAATTCATACACTTTGCGCGTACTTGCCCACCTGAATTGTTACTGTAAAAATTATTACCTTAGGCTTAATTTATATTTATTGACTCGCATACGTTTCTTTTACTCCCGCGAGAAAGGACTTTAATCATCTCGGCTACGTGCGCATTGACAAAAAGAGTGAAAGTTCAATGAAATAGTGACGGTAACGCAGAGAACATTGAAGTCATCCATTACCTGATCGTTGATGTCGTTGGAGGTCGGAAGATCAGATCGTCGGATGCGCGTATAATCCCCGGGGGTTGTCGTCTAGGTACCGACTCTCACCGATGATCGGCGCGACTTGGTTCCGCCGTGCTGCCGCTCATCCTCGCGAGGATCGCCCGACTGCTCCTAATCTTGCCAGATTTGCATACTTATGAGAAAAATTGAGCTACTCAGCCTTTGTCGTCCCTCGATTATCAGGTAACGATGTGCCGAGCACCGGAAAATTAGCTTTTACAGAGCTTACGATCTTCACGGAGACGATCAAAATCACGAAATTTCCTACGGCCTGTCCGACAATTAATGAGCTTTATTGTTTTGCATTATTCTTTCTTATGACGAGTCGAAGTAATTGATTCGAACTAGAAGATTGAATTAGATAGATTGAATTAGAAGAAAACGGATATTCAGTAGGTGGCTTTATAATTACAAACTATTATTTCGCATCATTCGCTCAATCGAACATTATTAGCGTATTCATTAGGTAAAATTTTGTCGTTTCCCACTAATATTACACAGCTTAGGTAGATTTAGTAATAATTCGTTTCAAAAAAGTTTTGCTAACATTGACAGAAATTTTTATGTATTATAATAGATCACTCTTTTTCAAGAACGAAGTAGATATTCTTTTAATAATTCATTAGTTTTGAAATTATAAATAAGCATAAGTCAATGAGATTTTCGAATACTTTGTATGGATGGAGCACAAAAAAAAAAAAAAAAACAAAGAAAAAAAATGCCTCGGTATCGCGTAAAAATTGTTATCGCAATTAATCAAACATGATTTAAATAAAATAATAGCTATTCCCTTAAAATTTTACGATAGCTTGATTGATGAGCGCTATGATAAATATTGGAATTATTTATATACGCGATATAACAATCTAATTTGCACACAAGTTGTCTAAAAGAACATCTTAAACTTCGTTTGTTCTTTAAATCACTCTAAGAAATTGATAAGCTCTGTTTGGCCAAGTACGACTGTACTCTTTGAAACTCTTTGAAAGAATAACTTATAAAATGAGATTAGCAGTAGCAATAAAATCTAAGGGATGAGTCGGCGGAATTATTTTCTAACACAAGTAAAGAGACATTTCTACTGCCTTAGTAAAGCCAGAACGCAACAACAAAACTACAATAACCAACAATAGCATTTCACTTTGTCTTAGCACTTAACGATCTGCTGGATAAATGCAAATGCAGGGTGAAACAGGGATCGCCGGGCCTCTGCGAATGCGCAAGCGTGGTAGATCATTCGGCGCGGGCTATTCGAAGTGGGAGGCGCGCGCGCGCGACTCTCGGGTGCGGGTTTCGACGCGCGGCACGGAAGCCGAACTTGCACTGAAGGACTGCTCGAGCTCGTCGACCGGTACAACGCACGCGGCAGACTCACTGCTGACCATCGCACTACCAGCTGCACATTGCGCTTTCTCTCTCTCTCTCTCTCTCTCTCTCTCTCTCTCTCTCCCTCTCTACCGCTGCTGGTAGTCGTGGATGGAAATGGGAAGCACATCGGAGAAATAGACTTTTCAGGAAGAGAGTGTATGTAATGAGAATGAGAATGAGAATGAGAATGAGAATGAGAATGAAAGAGAGAGAGAGAGAGAGAGAGAGAGAGGCGAAGGAGGAGGAGGAGGAGAAGGTGGTGGAGTAGGATGAGGGGGGGGGGGAGACAAGATGGTACGTCTGGTAGGAAAATATTTTGTTGTGCTTGTTTTATATGTGTGAGACGTTACTGTCAAAAGTCGAATAATTTGATTCAAATCCGTTCAAAGAGACTGACCAACCGTTGGACTTTTATTCTTTATTACACGAGCCAGGAGGCGCGCAGGTAGTTAAAAGAGCCTTTTTAATATTTAGAACGTCAGGCGAATGTTCAGATTGAGATTTATTTGTATATAGCTTAAGGGGAAGGGAAGAAATAGGGAGAATAAGCGGAGAACATTAATTATTTTGCTCTGAATGAAATTGTCATTATTCTACGATGTAATTGAAAGTGTTTTTGACATACGAGAAGACATTTCCGCGAGCAATTTTTTCAGTCTTTATCAGCGCTTTGTCTAATTAGCTTTAATTAACTATAATGTTAAAAAAAAAAAAAAAAAAAAACAAAAAGCAAAAAACAAAAAATAACAAACCAAAAAAGAATACGCACAGAGGGGACATTTACGATAGTTTACGATATGAATTGCGTTGCTATTGCAAAAATGATTATCTGCAAAATTAATTAGCCTATTTTTCTTTAAAACAAATAGATTTCTAATTAATTAATTTGGAGATTATATCTGTATACTAATTTTATTTAATTTCATTACCATTTATTTTCAAATTAATATCCATATAGTTAAGCATGTTTCTTAAACTTTTTATAAAAAAAAATACGAGACTCAATGATAGGACAAAATCTTCTTTAATCTCTTATCTGAAAACATCATCATTAACTACCAAATAATTGTATTCATTATGAATTAGATATATAAATATATATTTTTTAGGGCAATGATTATTACCGACTCTTTCTTATTGCGGTTTCAAAAAAATGTAGAATAATATTGCTAATATAAAATCTACACAATTGCATGCTAATGGCTGCATAAATTATAATTAAATAAAAATTAATCTATTTTATGATGATTCTTATTTTACGCACTATCACTCGTTACTTTCTAATTGTATCTTTAAACGCAATCCTTTCAAATTTATAAATTTTATGGAATTTCGGAAATTTATGTACCCAAAAGGGCACACGCACGTACAACGCTATACAATAAGAATAACCAACACAATGTTGATGTTGATGTTGATGCGCGTGTGCGCATAACTAATTAATAACAATACTTAATTTTCACTAGTAATTAGAGTATTAATAATAGCGTCGGTCATTTGGTCAATTCAATCGACAAATTCCAATGCGCACATTCGAAGGACTAAAGGACGTTTAAAAATCAAACATAACCTGCAATAATTGAAGAAATAGTGATAAATTAATTATGTTAAATTTCACGTGTCGACACGATTCCTCAATAATATTATCCTTAGTGTTTGAAACGGCCGTTTCAATCCAAGGTCGCGTGGAATCCCCGTTCATTTTCCATCGGATCGAAGGATCGCGAAGCCGCTGTTCCTGGAATCTCCCGGACGGAGCTGAAGCGCTAGCAATAGCCTGGGCCGCCAATTATCAATGATGACTCACCATCCCCCCAGTGATTCGCGGACCGAACACACCTGGTGCTCGGGCCAAAAAATTTCAAGGTAAACCGGCTCGAGGAGTTCCTCGACGGGATACCGCCGGCGATAAGCGCAAATTTCTTAATCCCCGGGACTCGGGCTCTCCACCTCGAATTGCACTCGTGCTCGGGCGCGCGAGCTTCGCCGGGAAAAGAAGGGGAATAGAAAATCAGGTGCAGCGGCCTCGCCGTTATCCAGGACACGCTCTTCGGCGCGCTATCGCTATCAGCGGCTCCGGGGCGCGCGCTTACGGCTGCCGCTGCTCCCAGGTATGCGCGCGCACCCGGCAATTCAAGGTCACACCGCCGACGATATATATGTCAAAATATCGCCGCTCGCGGCTCGCGGCCGCTATACAGCCACTTTGCACTACTAACTTAGCTATTTGCTCCTCGCGATACGTTTCGTGCGCGCGCGCGTGTATGCATGCATATACAGGAGAGCATGGAGAGCAGACCGCAGCGAGTAACGGTAAGAGCGCCTGGGCACGTCCCATTTTTTTCTCCTCTCCTGGCACGGCACAAGAGGTGCATGCGCGTGCCTCTGTCAAGTGATCGCGGCGAGTGCGCGCGTCTCGATATTCTCATCCCCTTCTCGACGTTTGGCTAAGCCGGTAGTAGTGCGACACGTGCGCACCGAGGCCGAAAATGACACGCGGCACGGAGTATTTTGCCGATATAACGCAGGTTCCGCTGCCCTTGCCACGTGCTACACTTGGCGACATCCTTCCTGCATCATATTCCAGCGCGTAAGAGAGAGATAAAGATAGAGAGAAGGAGATAGATAGATAGATAGAGAGAGAGAGAGAGAGAGAGAGAGAGAGAGAGAGAGAGAGAGAGAGAGAAAGAGATTTGTTTCTCATCGATTTTGCAAGAGTACCGTAATCATTTTTATATTCGCCTAATCGGCGTAAGTCGAAACGGGCCTCCGAACATTTCGAGAACTCACGATAATGGATTTCATTCACGGCACTTGACGCCTTCTACTTCCTCAACTTACCATCTCTATTTTTTTCTTCCCCCACTCCCACATCAGTAGATAGAGACGACAGTGCGGCGCATTTTTTCAGCGCTGTTATGACCCGAGGAAGATGAAACGGATGCTAACGAAGACGAGAGTTTTATCCTGAAAATGTCCTATTATGTAATTTTTATTTTACGAGCAACGACATGACAAAGCTTTTCAATTACGTCGACGACTTAATGCTGCCACGCACTCAAGGCCCATCAACGCTCCCGTTTTATCACCGATCTCTATGTAATATGGGCATTAGTTGTTAAGTCTGATTATTTGCAGCCTGTTCTAGCCATGAACAATTACCATCATCCCGACGAACATATCCAAAGTAGTATTTATCTCCTAAAGTACAAAGCGACTTTAATGATAAAATCGTATAAGAGAGACTTTATTAAAGTCGAATGATAAGAGGAGGGACAATCATGATTAAACGCTCATTTACGGCGATTCGTAGACTTTTAGAAAGCGATTCGCTCTCTAAAGCCTCTAAAGGTATAAAAGTAAGAAGTAAAAACAAAAAATAAAAAAACAAAAAAAAAACAAAAAATCATCGATTACCTAAGGTTAATAATTAATTATTTTACGAATAATGCCTTTCGACCAGAGTTTACGTTTAAATATTCACGATTATATAATGTTATATAATAATTAGCTACAATTCTCTTCTTCTCATTATATCTCAATTATAGAATATAAAAAATATAAGATGTAAAAAATGAGAATTTTTTCGTAATTTAAAACGATTGTTTACTTACATCTAGCGTGACAAGAACATTATTATCATTATGTAATGCCTCTTTATAAAGATAATTATTTTTGCCTATTGCTCACCAAGCCCATTGTAATCTACAACTACAAATCATATTATATTTACGAAATTCGGCCGGCATTATTAGTGATATATTCTAACTACACTGTAATCGTTTATAATTATTGTTGAAAGTACTTGAACAGTAGGATGTTTTAACGCTTTATGTTCCTTTAAGCATAATTTTACATTAATACCTCTTAATGCCATGCGTTAACAA